AAGGTCACATTAATAAACGACACCCCTCACCTAAAAACTGTATATATATATATTACATAATATCTGCATATTTTATTATATACAACCATTACGTGGCAAGTTGAGTAAATGAAATCTAACCAGCGTACCTCCAATGCACGCGCTCTGTGCTCACACTCACAAGATTACATTGCTAAATGACACACCCCACTTCACATCCATATGTGTCAAGACGTGATGGAATCAGGCGCTCGTCAATTTTTTTTTGGCATTTCGAGTTATTGGTATCATCTGAAAGCTGATTCATTTGTCTCGCTCCCAATGAAATAAATATCCAACTATCTTGATTAGAAGTCAAGATAATTGCGATTGAAGGAGGAGAGGTCGCCTGTTTTCAGAGGTAGAATAAGCGAGAAAATAGCCACCAAAGTCAATAGCTAAAGAGTCCTTGAAAATTTAAACTTGACACATTTTGTGCCTTTAATCAATGTTTTTCAGTAAAAATTCACATGGAAATCTGTTTTTAGACGAACATAAAAAAGTTTAGACTAAAAAACAAAAATTCGATAAAAATTTCCAAACTGGCGGGAAAATGAGAGTTTCCTAGATTTCGTTATTTTCACGAGCGCCTGATTTCCCCACACTGCCTCACATATTATAGTATTACACATCTACATATTATATAGAACCTTTGCTTGGCACGATCAGTGTCAAATATGGCCAGCAAAGTGGAATCAGATACCACACAGAAGACATTATCATTTTTACTCATAATGCGACACACCTCCTTTCAGCCATAAATAGACACACACATATCTGCATATCATATATAACCCATAACTATATCAGATGCTAGAAAAGAAGTAGAAATAAAGAGTAAAAGAGAGTAAACTGATTTAAAAGGAAAGAAGAAAAAAAAAACGAACGGGGAAAATATCCCTCTCTACGGGAAGATTTCGTTTAAAGGAATCTAATCCTAAGTCTATTACCAAGAAAAGGTTTCTCTGAGGAGGTAATCGACTACAAACATTACAAAAAATCGGAAACTGCAAAAAGGTTTTTATGAAGGCATCTATGAAGTAGGAAAACATAAGAGGCAAAACAAAATTACAAAGAAACAAAATGAAAAAAGAAAGTAGAATCTAAAAAACAACATTAGAGTCTACAGGGTCGAAAGAAAACTGTCTACTTTCAACTCGGATACTAACGGTTATCTATGAGAGGAATAAACTACGACATCTTAGACGTATGGTACAATGCATCACATACAGAACGATCAAAGGTAGTCAGCAAAGATGTTTGAGGTGAAACGAAACAATGTATTTCAGGCATAACCACCTCTACTTATAACATCTCACTCTATAGTTTATAATATGTTGTCTATTTATATTAGTTTTATTAGTATAAAGCAACAAAATACAAACTTGAAGAAAACAATATCTGTGTGTACATGTTGTCTACAGATAAGTATGTCCATGGCAAATAAACAGTCGGTCATCTTTCCACTTGTCCCCGAGTCAATTCCAGGAGTCAAAGAAAATAAACGATAAAAGGCAGACGTCGCTTTTGCAAAAGATAGAAAGAAAAGACAAGTCAGAAAGAAAAAGACACTGTCCGTCCACCCTTAATTAATCATGTTCTGCACTCCAACATCTCTAAATGTTTATTATATTTGTTGCATTGCTGACTAATCACATGATTTATAGAATCTGTCTCTGTCTATTTCTGTCTGTTTGTCTATCCGTCTGTACTTAGTCAATATTTCAAAAGTATTAAACGATGCTAAACAAAACCCCAAAAACAAAGCAACAACACCCCCCCCCCCCCCCAAAAAAAAAAAAGCGAAGCAAAAAATACCCCAAAGCCCAAAAGAAAAACAGCAGATCAACCGACATCCCGATTTCATGCATATAATTATCATAATGATGGCAATCAAAGGCTATCGTGTGAGAATAACATGCGTGACGTCACTGTTTTCTGTGACGCAGAGTGACGTCATCGGCGTGAGTGAGTGATGTGTCGTGCAAGCATCGTCGTGCAAGCGAAGCAAAAAATGATGTTATAAAAGAATGATAGGAACAGGGTATGGGGCGTGGGTAGCGGGGAAAGGGTGGGGCGAGAGGGTAATGTGTGTGCGTGT